AAAATGAATTTTTTTAAGATTTGGGAAAATTATTATAATGTACGAGATATCTTTAAAAGAACTTTTCTTTCACCTTAAAGAAATATAAAAGTAAATTGTATTTGTTTGATTTGTAAGCAATCAACGTTTACATTATTTTACTTTCCATTACATTTAAGTATGATCGATTGTATGTTATTTAATAAAGAAATATGCTTTGGCTACTGCGATCGTTTATTTGTATATAATAACTTAGTTATATACATATAACTACTTAATGTTGTTTTGTGGTTTTCTTTTCATATTACTTTAAACTCTTATATTAACCAGAAGGTCAGCGCGATATATATGTAAATATATATAGTGTCGTATGCACATATATATATATATGCACACATATGTATATATGTGTATATATTTTCCAACTCATTTTCTTAAATGTGTGGCTGTAAAGGATTTTAATCAGCTTTTGTTACTTTATAATGCTTCCAAAGTCCTTTAGGTCAATTAAACGCATTATAAAACTTTGCTTATCAAAAGCCGACCGTTTACTAGTTTAATGTTAATTTTTTGGAAATAATAATATACTTAATTAAACATTATATTTGTATACTGCATTCTTAATTGTTTTGCTTTATTTTTTAATAAGATGCTATTCAAATTTTTTCGTTCGTTATGCGTTTCATACCGATGTTTAGTGTTATATCTGTTAGTTTTTAGTGTATTGTGTAAAGTAGTTGTTTACCGTTGCGTTTCATTTTTTTTTGTTTTTTTTTTGTTTTTCAATTTTTAAACACCAGCTACTTTTTGCGTTGTTTTTAATATTATTTTATGTTATATATTTCGTTTTTAATATATCCTTTATGTTTGCATATATAATATAATAATGTCTAAAAATTTTATGTTTTCTACTTATATCGTTTAATGAATTATTTTTAATTTTAATTAATTTAATTAATTGAAAATAAATTTATTATAATATTTTAAATTATATTCTAACATAATTATTTAAACTTTTTTCTGGCTATCTGATGGTCGTTTGGCAATTTGCTTTTTATTTTAAGTGTATTTTTGTATGAAGTTGTTCTTCTCCTTGTGGTAGTTGGTGTTTTGTAGTAGTTTTCATATATTTGTTTATTAAATAAACAAAACATCTGTCAGCTTCTGTTGGTTTTTGCGTTACTTGCTTATAATTTCTTTTTCCTTTTGGTATTTTAAGAATTAAAATTAAACCGTTTACTACGTAAGTATCTAAATAAATAAACTACTACACCTAAATACTATTTCGGTAGTGGCTTTTGTTAAAAAAATTGCTCTTTTAATAGAGGTATTCAGAATTAGAAAGGAAAGATCGAGTCAAACCATATATTGGGGATGTGATAAACGAAGAGACAAAATTCATTCTACTTTCTATTTTCCTATAAATGTATTTAAAAGTGACGTTTTGGGGTTTCCTTTCGGCTAAAAAATTTTTTGAAAAATAACAAATCCGCTTTCTACGAAATTAAAACGCCGTGTTTTTTTATATGAAGAGAAAAATGATAACAAGTTTCTATATTAAGATTTTTTGCCTTTTAAGATTAATAAAATTGTGCCTCACCTTTTGCTTTAACCGTGAACACCTATATCAGATTACAATTTATTATATATATAATAATAATTAATTTAATTTTTAGAATTGAAACTAAAGAGTTTAGAAAAAGATTACAGGCGGAGCCATAACCGATAGCTTCTAGATGGACGTGGATTTGTACGTACCGCTTAGACGTACATAACGTGGTGAGTACTTCTTTCAGTTATATTGTTAAATTTGAGCGATGAAGAGAAAGGATGTTTGACTAACAGTAAATCGGTCGAGTTTTTTCTGCTCATTTGGCTTGTTACCAAAATTTATTTTTTAAAGGAGACTCTAAGCACTGCGAATTTAATTGGCTTATGCCAATTAAGTGGTAACTTGTTTTTTTAAGAATATACGAAATAAGTTTATAAAAAAAAGACATTGTGGACAGGAAAGCATAGTTACCGCGCTTGATTTAGAAACACCGTCAAGTTGGCCAAGCAGCTTTAAAATCAAATTGGGTAATTGTTTGCTATATTAGGCCCCGTTTAGCAGGACTTTAAGAATTGCATGTATTGGTTTAAAGAATCTCCTCCCCCCATTGATATCGCACAAATCCTTAGGTTTTCGCTCTTTATTAACCCTGTCTGTAGCGACTCAGTCTATTGCCACATATTAATCCAAAGTTAAAATAAATAAAAAAACGCTTATTAAAAAGCAATTTACGGTGTTTGAAATAAATTTGAAAGCAATAGAAAAAGTGGAAATAATATAAAATAGAAACAAATGAAAGATAATTAAATTTTACCACGAAATGAAAAGTAAGACTAAAAAAAAAGTAAATTAAATTAAAAAGAAATATATATAAAAAAAAAGGTAAACTCGGCTACGACCGAATCTTCTAAAATATTTTGTTGTGTAGCATACAAGTTGTGATTGCCACACAGAGCGGACATCGGTCGTATGCTGCTCATTTCAGAACTAAATAAGATAAGGGTCACGAGGGTTTGATATCCTGGAAGAGTATTGCCTTGGTCACACTGATGAAGAAAATAAAGAATATTTTCCACACTACGAGCTCTTATAATGAAACAAAAGGGACAAAGTGGACAGTAATAAAAGAAAAAATAAAACTTATTTAAAAAAAGACACGAATGGAATGAATATTAGCTGAAATGAGATGCAATTAAAGAAAAAATGTTCTCATGTACGTTGTTGAAAAACGATAAACCAATTAACAGTACCTTTATTCAAACTTTAACTTTATTCAGAATTAAGCTGTGAAAAAACAAAAAAAAAAAAAAGAATACTAATGTTGTTTTTATAGATTGAAAATTTATTTTGTTATATCAGAAAAATAAGAAATTTTAATTGAAATGAAAATAAAATGTTATGTTATGAAGGCATCTCCTTTTATTTAATCCTTTGGCAGTTACAAAGACATTTTGAAAGGTTATGTAAACGAGAAATTAAATAACTTTATTAACCAATTGCCAAAAGATGACGATCTACTATTTTGGTCTTCTTGATTGTAAGATTTTGCAATAATTATCGAAGAACCGCGATAACGTAAAAGAAGTATTTTTTATTAGTTAAAGATTCCAACCCGATTTGGTCGATTTCTGTCCGTCCGTAAGTTTATCCCTGTGCCAGATGTAGGTTGACTTTCCAAACTGGTTAAGGTTAGCAGTTAAAGTTGAAACGAAACGTTGTCCGCTGAGAAGAAGAAGCGCGGACGAACTGGGACCGAAGTTTTTAAAAGGTTTTTCTTAAGTGACAAGTAAGAGCAGACATCAATGTAATCTGTGTTGTACAAGTGAGATTAATTTAAAAAATTTGAAAATTGCAAACTGTTGCTGATCTGAATTGTGATCTGTTTGCTTTAGGCAATCGATAACCAAATTCGCTGGAAGCGAACGTGATTTTCTTACTTACGCTTTTCACGAACTTCAATTTTACTCAACTTTTACAAAAAAAAATTGTTTCTAATTATTTCTTTTAAATTATTTAGAAATTTTAAATGCTTAAATTATTAGTTTTTGAGTTTTATTAACAGTTTGATTTTCCTTTTCTAAATAATTTAAAAGGCATCCTTCTACTACACAGTAGTACTTGGTTTTTTTTTTTAATTAAAATTTCATTTTATTTAAGTCGGTTGAAATTATGCTTAAGTTAATTTGTATACGTGATTTATTTAGAAATGCGTAAACAAAATAAGTTGGCTATAAAATATATATATATGTATTTATACATATATAAATATTATTTTTGTTCGGCTAATATATTGTTTTGGAAACGGAAACCATTGAGAGATTGAATAAAGAAATCAATAAAAATTTGCAAGCAAACTTTCCGGTTTTTTCTTCTGTTTAATTCGCGAGACACGTAAGAAGGACTTTTTAAAGAGCATAAAGCAGAGGTTAAGGGAAAACACTTGGGGTTTTTCTCAAAAAATATTTTAATTTATTTCTAGTTATTTCTTTATTTCTTCTTTTTATATTTTTTAATAATATTTTTGATGATAAGTTTTTTTTTTTTTTTTTTTTGAATTCTAGTAAAAAGAAAGGTGTGGTGGGTTTAAGTCTAAAGAGTTCTCCATTTGATCACTTGGTTAAAAAATTTTCGAAAATATTTAAATTTGTATGTATCACTATAAATGTAGGGCATGAGTAAACGACGAATGGGTGGGTGGATGACTGTTGCTGAATGCTTTAAAAAGCACTAATTGAATGAAAATAATTATTGAAAGAATAAAAAAAAAAAAAAACAAGAAAAAAGAAATTAATATAATTTAAAATAAAAATGCATTTATTATTTTTGATTTATTTGAAATTATTTTCTCCGTTTTATATCAAGTGTTTTATTTAGTTAATTAAAATTTTAAATTTTGTTTATTTTTGTATAGAGTATATTAATTTTATATAATGTTGTGAAAATTATTAAATATTAATTAAAGAAAATTAAAAAATGTACTTAAACGCTTACGGCAACGATATTAATGAAAAGTTATCCAGGTTTTAAGACAATTTTTTGTTTTCTCCTGTTGATCTAGTTTCGCACTGCGCCTCTCCCTTTCTCTTTCATTTTTTGTTTAAAAGCTAAATCCTTCTTCACTTTTTAAATGTCCCTTTCCGCTGTTTTCTATTATACATTGGCTTCTTTGCATTGGTTTAGCTATTGTGCTTCCTTCCTATATGGTCTTTTTATTGCAGGCCGCTTTCGTTTTTTGTTTGTCGTGGTTGCATTTTAATATATCAAATTCAATTCAAAACTATTTCTTCTGTCCTGTTTTCTAGTGGCCTTTGATTTACGTGTATTTACTCCTCGATATTCTCAATATCTGCCTCTTACAACAATGAGATAATACAGTTCCCAAAACTTTTGTTGCAACCACAATATTAATGCGACCGCTTGCCACAGCATTGGTCGTTGTAGAATTTCTTGATGTGTACGTCTTTTCAACTTTTCTAATAATTTATTGGCGCGTGAAGGACCCTTTTGCAAATCATGATAATTTAAATTGTAATTGTAATAATGATAATTGTTATTGGTATAGTAATCACATCGTTTAAGTCGCGATGTTGGTGATGATAATACGGGATTTAGGGAATTGTACATCGTGTTTGTCACTACATTCTTTTCTGCTATTTCATTTACTTTACGAGCGGCTTCATATTCTTCTTGTTCATGATGTTGTTGTTGCTCTCCTTGTTGTTGTTGTTGTGATTTATTTTGAATTTTAATGTTTGGATATTTCTGTGGTTTGCGATAATATTACATAATAACACATTTGCCCTTTTCAGCCCACGGGTTATTCTTCTTATCAGGAGCATTAATTAATGGATCATTCTTTTCATTCTCTTCAACAAATGAACGCATCCTGAAACGAAAGAGTGAGAAAGAGAGAGAAAGAAAAAGAGAGATATATACAATTTTTAATTTCTTAAAATTTAAAAACAAATTTTATTGATGATTGATATAAAAAGTTGAAACAGCACCTTTGCGATCTCTGTATAACATATAAGGTTTCCTTGCAGAAAATTTTATTTGCCGCCAAAGTTTATGTTGTCGTTGTTCAAACTTCATGTACAAGACATGTGGGTCAATAGAATTTTTCGCACAATCTTTTTAGGCTTATGAGCACATGGCCTCCAACTCTTTCATTAAATTTTTTTTTTTTTTGATTCGAAAATGCCACTTTTTATTTGTTACGATGCGCTTCACACAAAAAGTGCTAGGTATTATCCTATGAGCAGACTTAAATGATAAAACTCTTAGAAAATTCGCTAAAACTTCCGCGAATGTTTTTGATAACCGTTTAAAGCTTTAAAAATTTGTATAATACTTTGATTTGAAGAACTTTTCTTGCTACCAAATGCCCACATCTTATAATATACAATATAAATATAGATTTTTGATCACATTTTTTTGTCATTCGTTGCAGCACTTCTTAGTGAACGAAACTGAACCTATAAGAGAAAGTCATTCAGGAAAGAAAAAATCAAACATGCGGTATTTCAATAAGTCTGAGAGAATTAAAGAAAAAAAATAAGAATTGAGGAAAGTAAAAAGTTTTTTAAATGTCTGTCTTGTTTCCTCCTACAGAAATCAACTCGATGAAACCAACTTTCCCTTACTTTCTTCATTGAATCGGGCCTTATATCAGCAATAGTGCACAATGCATAACTAGAATGTGGTGTATATCTATCGTGCGACACATTCAGATAAAGTCACAAAAAGTCATTTTCGGAGACTTTATTTGTTCGCCACCGAATTATACAAAGCTGGAAATTTTGAGGAATGTAAAGTTGTCTGGTTAATATGTAATAAAAAACCGACAATTATTACATACGAAACTATTGAGATGAAAATGATAAGATTTTCTTAACAAAAAACACGATTGGTTTAAAGTTTCTTCAAGGCAAAATCAGGAAACTGCGTTGTTTACGATGATCCAACGGTTTTACGTTCCTCCCCACATCTTGCTAGGCCGAACCCACGGACAATTTTATTTATTGAGGAATCGATAAATCTTTAGTCTTCAGCAACACTGAATAATTCCCAAACATTTTTAAGATTTTTATAATTTCCAAGACAAAAATGTAAATCTTACTGAACATCAACAAAATCAACAAAAGCAGAACGAACTTTGATATTTATAATACAACCAAAATCTTATTGAAAACTTCTTTAGCATTTCTCAATTTCCCATGACAATATACTTCGCGTTACTCATAACTCTTTGTTGTTAAGGTACCAGCTCGGCGGTCTTAAGCAAAAATCCTAGAAAAAAAAGAAGAACGACTGTAGCACATGCAAAACGCCAAGATTTGTTTTCACATTTAAGTAAACGCAAGTAAATTTCCGGATTCTATTCATTTTTCCATTCTGAATAAGCGAAAGAAGACTGTGTTAACTCTTAAGCACACAAAGTTTGACCGAAGACAAGTCGGATTGAAGAAGAAAACTTCAAATGTTAAACAACAAAAGCAAACAATTGAATAGTTTCACATTATCGGTGTGCATGAGTGTCCGCAAACGGCTTTCTTTTGAAGACAGATTTTTAATAAAGAGGGAAAAGCGAATTCGACCTGAATTACTTACTTGCGAAAAAATGTAGAAAATAGCTAAATAGAAAATTTAGGGAGAAGCGAATTCGATCTGAATTACTTAATTGGCTTACTTTCTCGAAAACAATGTTAAGAGCAACGACAATGATGATGATAGCTTGCCTGCCATATGAAAAAATGATAACAAAACTTGAAGATATTAATTTACTATTCACAAAATCACTTGAACTACATCTTAAACTTTTTCTGTTCCTATTTCGTCATCAGGTTCGAATATCCACTAAATCCGCTTAAGAAAAATTATTCGTTAATTATAAGAAGGAAGTGTATTTCTGTCGCTTTAACTCTCAACCAAAAATATATATACATTTATGACATTAAATTATCACAATACGCTGACGATTTCTCTCCGTCAATAACACTGCGCCGCCCATAAACTTTTTCTTAAAGATCCAATTGTGATTATCCGTTCTATTTCCTGCACTTAGATATAGTTAAGATTTTTTATTATACCGATCGAAAACGATTTTGAAAGTGATCTGAAGGGGTAGGGTTTCCAATATGGGCCTTCCTCGACTGCAATGTTGTCACTTTTTCTTATAGCTTTATTGTAAGTTAATTAATATATCTTTACCTTTTACACGAGTTTAGTAATATTTTGTGAATTTACCTGTAAAAATTGTAAAAAAATTGATTTGAAACGTACATCGGATATATATGACAAGACATCGTTTTGTGTTCGGTAATTAAAGTAGAACTATGAATTTTTTAAACGTCGTACCTTAGATGATGTGCGAATTCAACAAAATGGCGCAACATGCCGTATATCTCGTGACAAAATCAATTTATTGCGAGAAAAGTTCAATGACCACGTAATCTTCAAAAATGCCGAGGGGACTTGTTCGTACGATCGTGCCATACGATTTCATTGGATATATTTCTTTGGGATCATGTCCAATAAATGGCGCTTACTGCAATAAACCACAAACGCTCAAGGACCTTCTTAGCCACGATTATTCATTGTTGGTATTTTCGGAATTTATTTTTGCACAAAACCGAGGCAAAATCATTTATAATAAAAATGGCGCGAACCATTATCTAAAACAAAAAAGATAATGTTGATATCATCTGTCTTTTCGTTCTTATGTTAAATTAAAAATATATATAGGTCTTATTTGATCACTCTGTATTTGTATAGCAATATATCGTGTCATGCTTGTGTGTGATATTTAAAAATTCGGGCCATATCATACATGATTTCATTTTTTTCTATTTTTTCGCTATAGAGTTGTTTCTGCCAAATGTCTGTTTCTTCTAGACGGAAACATAAGGCCATGTAAGGCCATGATCGATATCTCATACCCGTATCTATGAGAGGGATTTGTCTGGACAATTTCATTATTAAATTACTTTCATCCATTTCATTTCATTTATTCCGTTTATTTCGATATGCCGCTTTATTTTATACATGAACATCTAATTCATATTTACACACTGAACGTTTACACATTTACTACAAGTGTTTTGATAAAGAAAGTAAAGAAAAAAAGCAAAGTAAGAAGATTATAATCGGGCAATACCGACAAACAAACATCCTGCACTTTTCCACCTAGTACAGCTATTCGTTCGTTTTAATGTTAATACCGCAAAAATTACACATTATTATCATGCAAAGGAGAATGCCCAAAACATCAAATAATGTGATCGAAATTTTGCAAGCTTAATTTATTTCCCAAAAATATTATTATTTTTCAGATTCTGTCAAAGAAAACTAGAAATTATACTTTATCTTCATATAAGGGCTTACTTTTCATGGTAATCCTTCTACGTGTAGTGTCATGTGACCCAATTTGTTGAATTGCTCCTATGATCCAATTTTTGTCATACAATATGTAAAATTAAATCTTTTTCTTGTGAAATCTTGTATGGGGACCGGGACCCACGTTGTTCAAATTTAAGGCCTTTTTTCTCATTTCCTGAAAATCCTTATATGCTTTGGTATCCAAAAAATATACCTACACGGTCCAAATTAGGTAAGGTTGGTTTCGTTGTCAAATTATTATTACGAACCAATTTTCACCATATTGAAAATTAGACCATTTTACCACATAAAGATCCAGTTTTCGTAGGAACGATTATATGAGAGGAAGTTCAAAAAATTAGGCCAATCGAACCAAATATTTCATATCAATTTAGAATGTCGAAATGCCATTACTCAGCGATTTTTGTCGAGAAATTTGCAAAATTGCAATTTTTTTTTTATTGTAAGTCAACTTTTTAAAATAAACGGTTATATGGGGAGTAGCGGAAAAGTGGGCAGATCGGAAGTGGAGATCTTTTGGTTGGTAAAGTGAAAACGCATCTGACGGATAACGGACGGACAGACAGAGAGGCTTATATCGATTCATAAAGTGATTCCGAATAAGTTATATACATTTCACAAGACTACGCAATTCGATAAGCAATACTCTCTGCTCATACGACGGCGAATTTCGACTAGATTCCCGATTTTTTTAAGGTGAACCTATGGCGTGATTTGACTTGCTTTTAACATCAAATTGCTTACTGATTTGTGCTTAATTAAATATTAAGAAGTTTATCTTTCTATTCGAATATGATGATATTAGCGGACAGATTGATAGGATACGTGTGGACTTGAAAGTTTAATCAAGAAAATGAAATAATTTTATGAAATTTCTAAAGCTTGTTTCTGTTTCTTGTGGAATAACAAAGTTATTGCATAACTTGCGGTTGTTTTTACACAATATACGATATATGTAGATGAAGGTTTAGATATGCTAGCGATCTAGTATGTAAAAGTTCTACACATTATTTCTCCATAGCTTTATAGTTCAATTCAAATAGTTAAATCTAGAAAGCGTTTAAACGAAACTTTATGTTTTGAAGTAAAGCTCCATTCAGAAATCAGCAAACTATAATATATACATCAAATAAATCGAAAGACAAAATTTGCACTGCGCATATGCGAAAAGGGATTACTTTAATTCTAAATTTAAATGGAATAACGCTACGCTTACATTTTGTCTTCGGAATACGCGTAGAAAAAAATTTTACAATTTTTCATGATTAATGCATATTTTTCCGCAAATCGGTACTCAAATTTATTAACTAATGAAAATTAAAAGTTACATAGAGCGTTTTTAATTGTATGGCTGTTTTCTTAACCAAGTTATGGCCTATAACGCGCAAATATACATAGATGTATTAACAACAATAGGTTCTATAATGGCATGTGCATATACAATGCTGCTAAGCTGTAGTGGCTCTTAATGCTTGTGTCTTATATTAGTCTTAAATACACGGAGACACTCACGCATTCATTTGAAATTATAAAGACTTTACACAATACAATAAAATAAATTCATATAAAAGTTGAAGGTGAAAACGTTTAGAATAAGAGTCAGGCCAGAAGAGGAAACAAAAAGTGAAAGTGGAAATGAGAAAATTCTTGCGACCACACACATATATAGTTTTTTTTATATATTTTGCCAGAGTGGTTGAAAAAAGTGCCACTGTACAGTAATTATGTAAAGTGTTTTACAACCAGCTAAGAAGAAAGAAAGACAAGTAAGAAAATTACGTTCAGCTTGTTACAAATATTGGGTACGCATAATCCTAATGACGTATCTGCACGTACAGGCGTAGCTGCAATAATATAGATACATATATGCCTCTAGTCGAAAAATTAATTTGACTGGACTTTGGTCATAGGTATGCAAATAAGTTGCTTCTCTTTTTTGATAAAATTTAACATTATTTAAAACATAATTGCTACAAAGCTTAATAAACGTCTTTTGCCATTTATCGGAAACTTCCCAGTTTCTCATCGAGCAATTTTCGTACTTCTTCAACATCTGCGAACCGCTGATCAGGTAAAAATGTCTGCATCGATCTGAATACACTTATTCGGGAGGGCCCAACAATGACATCCGGTCCTTAAACTTTGATATACACTGAACAGCAGCTTGTGAAGTACTCAAACTGACATCGTTCAAACATCAATATCTAAGTTATCTTTATCTATAATTTTGGGCAAATGAAACGCTTCAGACACGTTTTACGATGTAACAAATTTCGGAGGAAGAAATTTATTTGCACATGTAATGTTTTACACAACAGATTGATATCTGTTTTCGGTTGTAATTATTGCTAATAACATTTGAAAATGCAACATTTTCTCATTCTCTTTCAAGATGCATTCATGGCGTTCAAAGTCAATCTACGGACACATGTGCGTATCAATAGTCGATTACCTACTATTTGGAAACGTACGTTCATCAGAAGTGTGCACATTCAGTAATGGTCGTAAATGGACGGAAAACCTAGCAGGAATGGGACAAAAAAATTTCACATTAAAGAAAGGAATAGTGCAAAGTACAATTACGCAAAGTATTCCAAATTAATAAAAAAGAAAATATTTTTTTTCTTGTGTATGTCATACTATATTAATACGGAAAAAACAACAAATGTTAAGAAACGTCTCTTAAGAGCTTTACATTACGACATTTTGCTTTGGTTTTGTGAACATCAACGGGTAAAGTATAGCCATGCTAAACGCCTGCGCAGATGGCTATCTGAAGGTCACAAAGTCTAGTTGTAACCTTTTATGTATGAAATATATATAGCACTGTAAGGAAAATCACTTATTTGATAAAACCAAATAATGCATGAAAACTTTATGATTTATAAAATATAAGTATCCGTAAAGGCTTAAAACCACACTGGCGATGTTTTAGATGTAGAGCAGTTACACAAAAATAGCGGAGACCCTTCCAAATATGAAATCCGCAATATTATTGGAAAGGACGAAACCGGGAAGAATATATAAAGAGGGCAAGAGAGACGCGAGCCAAGTATGTCGCCTCCCACGTTAAGCTTATATCTCAATTTGCGAAAAAGCCAGTAAGCAAAAGAATATGACGGGATGCAATCACTAGCAAAGCTGGCAGTGTTGGCAAGTGATAAACCTATTTGTCGTAATGTCTTAAAAATTATTCCATATCGAATTGTTAAAGAAGCGTTAAGTTGATTCTACCTGACTTGAAGGAGAGTATCGCGATCAAGAAAGCTTTGTCAAAAAGAAAATTTATTTTCCTTTTCAATTCCAAAAATTACTGATCAATCTATCAAATAAGGTTAACACATTTCATAAAGGTGAAAATAACGGCCCGACTAACTCGTAAAAGGAAAAGATGCCATAAAAAGATCTCTTTCGGGTATATATAACACGTAAGGGTTCTCCTTCGAAAAAAGAAAAAAAAAAAAATTTGCAAAGTTTTTTTTATCACAATTTTTTACACACATTAAAAATAGTGGAATTAAAGCAAGTAGAAACAAGTGCGAAAGTAAACAAAATAGATCGGGTAGCGTATAAAACGTAGAGTGGTTGTACCAAAAAATAAATTATATTTTGAACGTAACTTGATGTCTCCTTATACATCATAAGCTATCTATTCTTTATTAAGACGTGATAAGTAGTATAGAATAATGCTTTTTACAGCCTTTTTTAAAATGTTTTTAAAAGTTTTTATCCAATTTAAAACAAATATTTACATTTTGTATATGCACTTAAATGTATAATATATGAAAAAATGCAAAGAAATGTGAATACTTTCATGAAGCATATTTCAATTAAGCAGAACAAGCCAACGATAATCACTATAAATTGAAACAATAAATAACGAAGAGAAAAAAATTGAATGGTTTTAATAAAGAAAATAATAACAACGATTGCTATTGGGAGATAAATATTGGAAAATTATTCATTAATTCTGTATTGAAGAAGGATAGGTAGAATACTCGAAATTTTAAATTAACCTATACAGTCATATCTGAAGCATCATAAATGTATCTGACGCAAACTTTTATATATATTTTTTGTTTTACAGATGTAAAAAGTGAGCTACATGCTATACTCAACTAAGACCGTTAGCTAATATCCCGTAACTCTTTTTAGAGAAAGCCGCCTAATTCTGCGTTTCTTTTGATTCCTGTTAAATCGAATTCAAAAATCATTGAAATCCGGTTATAAATTGGGCGACAATAAAAAGAAGAAGCCTTAACATCAATTTTGCTTAACTGATATTCTTCCTCGCATGTTATTAGGAGTAAATTGACGCGTCCTTATTACGCCGGTATATTGTATGGGGAAGTATGTCGCGTTTTATGCAAGATACTGAATGCGCTTTGTTGCTTTTTGTGTACAATTTTACATATTTATTTATCGATTAAACCAATTTGTAATATGCATGAAGAGTAGTGATGGGATACTTACATTTTTGGTCAGTGTGGGGATTTAAAGTAACGGCGATATGGCAATCATTCCGCATTTCCGGTTGTCTGCTTTTAAAATTATGGCAGTCAGAAAAAAAAGGAGGTTTTCACACAATCTGTTAGTTGGTATCCGGAGGTCAATTTTGAAAATATACTCAGTCTGGAGAAAAGCGAATTGTGTAAAAGCTAAAACAGATCAAAGCGTCTTCATTTGGATTATCATAATTATGAAAAGAACCCTTTAAACAAAGTATAAAAATAAAATAAAGTAAAACAATGGATTATAAAATAAAATATGATAATATATTATTAAAATAATACCAATAAAAGCGAAGCAATATGAAAGAATAAACAATAAATAAATTATATCAAAAATAAAAAACAAGAAAATCATTATAGTACGGAGTAGCCGTCTATCATATACACTACTCCACTTTATCTAATTAAAGCTTTTATTTATGTGCATGATGTTATAAATATTACATCTTGTTTTCATATAAAGGCATACTTTTGACTTGTGCTGTTATAAGGTGTGGGCTTGAAAAAATGGATATAAAATAGACCTAGAAATATACTGTAGCTGATTTCTATGTCAAATTACTATTGCGGATCAATTTTAAACATAATATATTAGAACCACAAACATCTAGGCATACCAAGGTTTATTTTTCATATGGAATGAATTAAAAAAATAGACCAACATGATCCACATTGGGTATGGGTATATTTTTATAATGAACTACTACTGCGGATCAACTTTTATTATGAAATATTATATTTTTGTCGCATAGAGACTTACTTTTCGTGTGAAGGATTGTATGAGAGGCGGTTTAAAACTTCGCACCATTCGATTCAAATTATTTATAGGAACTTAGTATGCTAAATTCTATTACTCGACGATTTCTGTCTGGTCATTTTCAAAACTGGGGGGTAGAGCGGAAGGACTGATAGTAAAAATTATTCTATGCATTGGATTTTTGATAGAGTTTGTTTGCCCTTGAGCCAAAATACATCATTATATAAAATTTGGTCAAAGTTTTTTAGAAATGCGGTTTGCACGGTGACGAAAATCCGTAGGTAGATACCAGATCGGAAATAATATAGACAGAAAGACCAAAAAGTATAAAACGAAACAGAAAATTGTTCCGAATCAATTAGTACAGTGAGGGGTGGGACTATCTTAAGTCCTTCCGCGTTTTACATTTATCCGGACAAAATTAAAATAAACTCTGTCACAAATACGGTAGAGTGTAATAGCAGCTAAGTTAGCGCATATGAATATGAATAAAACAATAATAATAGGTATCAATTACGTTGAAAAGTACGGTAAATATTTTTTTGAATAATATTCTGTTGGTGGTGGTATGACATGGTTTGGGAGATGACTATTTTCCGGGACGGATTGTATCAATGGAAAACGGTCTTGCTGACAACATGGCGGTAAAACGTAACAAGATTATATGTTTTCCTCTTGAAGATCTGTCAAGCTTAATTTTCTCAATGTACTAATTTGCGCTATAAATATAATTTTCTTTTTTTTTAATTTTATATTAAAATAGAATGATGGGCAATGTCGCAAATCGTCTAACAGCCATTGAATAATAATAATTGAACATTTTTTCAAGCACTTTGAAAAGGTTATTTTTAGGTACTTGAAATATTTTCGCAAACTTAAATATCAGCGGAAATGAATAATAAAGAAAGAAATCTAATAACTAAAGTCTAATGTGTGCCTTTTCTCTAGTGTCTGGACTTTCTCACGTTTTCCTTTAAGAAGTCCAACAGCAAGAACCAAGATTTGCAACTAAGTTCCTACAAGAAAAACATGGCGATTAAAAGCCCTTATAATGTTTTAATTAATAACTTGAAATCATCCATTTACGTTACTTTTATGTATCTTATGATGATGTACCTGATTTCACCCGATATTGAGGAAGATTTTCATACTCACTCATAGTAAAGGGCGTAAAAGTAGCTGACTTTGTTGAGAATGTTCTAACTTTGCATTAAATTAGTTAATTACCTTTCCACAACATCATCCGCCTGACGGAATAAATCGATTTAGACGGTAAAAAAAAAACGTTCCAATGTTTTATCCAATTTTAAAATACATGAAAATTTACAAAAATACAAAAAATACAAAAAAATTTAATAATCCTTATACGTCTATTCCAAGTGCAGCTGTAAATCAATTTATTGTTAATTAATTGAAAGATAGGGGGAGTAGATCCAATTTGAAATGGATCTAGCCTCTATAAAATCAATAAAGATTTGTAACGTCTACCGTATGACGGGCTAATAACGAGGAAAGCGATACACAAAGTACTGATTAGGTCGAACGCACGTAACAATTATAATAAATGTTTGCTTTTCATTTTACCAAACAATACTGGCTTTTGTCAAAAGGGCCCGACGAACTAAAATACTGTTGAACGTAATAAAGCAACGCTTTTGGTAGTGTCGATAAAATCATATTTTAGTAAGGATTACAACTATATTATTAAACAACAAAAGACTAGCATAAAGACAGGAATGAAGGACCGGTAAGACAACTGATAGTATATAATCCACCCAGTATGAGTTATATGGTAACGAGTACGTAAACTGGATTTGCAATACAGAAATGGAAACAACATCGATCGTCGATTGCTAGACTTCGGGAAGCTGTTAGGAGACAAAGTTTGGTGCGCAATTCCTGAGCGCCGACGAATGCGTTTTTACCAGCAAATGTGTTTCTTATAATCTGTAAGAAATTTTTTTATAATATATGTTCTCACTTTTGTGCACCGATTGTCATATAATTTAGACGCAAATAATGAAATCAATTTATAATTAATAAAATCCACAAACTCTTTTATATTATTCATTTTGTTAAATATCAAATATAGATAAGTACATGAAAAATTGTGACACCAATAACCTTCAACTTTATTCATACATATGAAAAAGTTTTTCCATTCAAATAACTTAAATTAACTTGAAGTAAGCTTCATGTTTAATCCCTTCTTTACGTTAAAATACAATTAGTGTTCACCAAAAGGCCATATTCATCAGTTAATTTTCGCCTCTTAAATATTACAAATGAATACTTCTTCTGTTAATTTCACAAAATATTATATAGATGCAAGTTTAAGCAAATACTTTCAAGTAAAAATTAGAGATCTTAAACTCTAAAATACCCAAGATCTAGTTTTTTTGAACTTCATGCTTTTTAATGCAATGTAAGCACGTTACATATATATACATCTATAAAATTAGTTTAGAAAAGAAAAACTCAAAAGAAAAGCAAGTAAGCACATTATATTCGAGGAGAGTTGAATCTTACATACCCACCATATAAAGGCTCGATCCACTTAAGATTTTAGCATCCGAGAAATTGGTTTTTCCTAAACGTCCCAAGATTTTATATATTAAACGTCCACCATATTTAAATTATTACAAACACACTTTATCGCCTATTGGTCTCCAAGTTCTTTTATTTGATGTACATATCGCTGGTATTATTAAAAATTAATTAATCCACCAGATCGCGGTGTCTGCATTTTAGAGTGTTGCATAAAGTAAAAGTGGAAAATTTCAGCCTTCTAAATTTTATAATTTCTAAAAAGGTAGCACAGAGCCCACAAATTTTTGTTAAGAAAAACGGGGTTGAGTTCAGTTTACGCTTCGCTATGAGCTTCTGCTCTGGCCGATTTGGGCCATTTTCAATATTAACCTGCATGCACGAGCTTCCAATGTTTCTACCAAATTTGAAATCGATGTCTTCATTTTCACGCCTAAGAGAGTGCTAAAAACAAACACCACACATACGCAAAAGCGGACATACATGGCTTAATCAATCCAGAATTTCATACTGATTAACAATACATATACTTTAAGGGGTCTTGAGCCTTCCTTTTCGGTGTTACAATACATTATGAAGAAAAAAATAAATAAATAAATCCCATCCTTCAGTGGTGGGTATAGAAAACGTTTTTATATTCGCAATTCGAATACTCAACAATATAGAGACGCCAAATTTTAAGAAAAACCCAATTTTCCGCACTTGGAGGCTAATATTTGAAACCAATACGTTTGCCTTTTGTTTCATGCTTGTACATACTTGCGAAAAGTGAACTTGTTGATATTTATACGCAAACTGAAAAGTGGTGAACTGTTGTTCTCGAAAATTTACTATTTAATTTTTTGATTATCAATGCCAGACTCAAGCTCGACTTGATATTATATCTACCTAGTCTCTGGCGACGTGCAACCACGGTAGAGTTTCCATATTTGCGATTCTTACCAATGGTACGATATAATGAATAGTCCAATATGGTTTAAATGGTAAAAACTTAAAGAACAGAGAATTATAAGAGGAAACGTTTACAATAAAGCAGGTAACTTGTGTCCCACCCTAAAGCTACAAATTCAAGTGTTTATATTGAACAAGAAAAAATTTGAAGAGGACTTAAAATAAAACGAAAACACAAAAAACAAAAACAAGAAAGAAACTGACACTTCGCTGTGGCCGAATCTTTCATATTAACCCTTCTCTTATATTAAAAGGACCAAAAATTGAAATTTCGATACGTTGCTATATTTTGGGTTGGGATGCAATAAATATCTAGCTTCTTTGCTTTGAGAAATAGATTTGTTCTCAGTGTATGTTGCATAACAGGGGTGCATTTTGGTCAATTTGACTCGTTTTCAATAACAATCTGCGTGCCAGCACGTTCACTGTCTACAGTAGACATACATACAGACGGTCAGACAAGTATACTTATATCGATTCAGAATTTTACAATCAACAAGAATATAAGCGCTTCAACTCTGAAGCTTCTGCCAAGGCGGCGCGAACGCTTTGCCATACTAAATCTACTTCACACTTGTCGGTTGTGGGTATAAAAGGCCAACAAAAACGATAGAAACAATGGAGAAAGTTTTCGTGTTCGAAAAAAACAACTATGAATAAATGCGAAATGCAATAAAATGAATATGCTTCTGCATTTCTGGGCGCACACTTTTGTTTTAAGAAACGTTACATAAAAATAACTATGGCAAAGATGTGTAAAAATAAAAAAGCGAAGTATATTATTGGTCTTAGCCGAGTTTTTTATACTTATCGGCTTTATCTTAAAAAATAAGAAAAACAAGAAATTTTGAAACTCTAAGAAATAAAATTACAAGGATGATTTTTATATATTAAGTACAGATATTGTAGCACCATCCATATACGAGAAATATAAAAATCCTATTCCGGATTTATTTGGCAAATACATGCATTTTGGTATTTTATATGAAGCAAATGCACGCTAAACTATTTGCAAAACACGTTACCGCGCAAATATTTTTAAAATCCATTTTGTCGTTTTTGTGAAATTAATCAAATAACTTTTAATTGTTCTTTAAAAAAATTCATTTTCACTAAAAAGTGCATTTGTTTTTTTTTTTAAATTCAGGGACCGCTCTATACATATATATTATATCTGGTATTATCATATATCATAAACCTTATTTTAATGTAATAATAATATTGTTATAAAATTCGCTTTTACTAAGATACAGTCCGTACCACTGGATCGTGGATATTTTATTCAAGAGAAATGCACTTCAAAGTTCTTTTGTTTTACTACATTGTCTTTTACAACAGTAGGAATATTTATTTATTACAATTTATTTTGGCCGTACTCTCAACTTCTACGTTCTTGTCAGACTAACTCTACTTTTCACAAATATTCTATTTATATACAATTTTACAAGCATCTTACTATATCTAACTTAATGGTTTTATTTCTAATCCCAGCCTGTCTAATTCCTCTAATCGTTTTTATCAGCCTGCAGCTGCATGAGGCGCCTGCAAATGCTCATTTGGTTTTTCCTTCTTTAGGGAATTTATTATTACGAAAATTACTTAGCTGACATTAACTGAATTTGGGATTTGCGTTACAATATTATCTTGTGTTAATCTAAAACAATATTTTTGTGTTTGGGCTCTTGTAGAACGGATCAAGGACTCGAAAACTGAGATAGAAAACTAATACTAGACGTATATATACTCGGCTGGCATGGCCACAAAGCTAAGCCTGCAAAATTCATAACCTATGGCTGAGAATGATACTTTATCTTACTATTGTACACGGCCAACTAAAATGTATGTTCAAAAATTAATTCGGTTAGCGGAAAAATCATTGTACCAAAGTGGAAACAAAAGCAAGCCACTGATCCAAAAAAGTGTATATTCAATATATATAAGTAAATATGCATACACATATATAGATATTTATAAACCTACCTGTCCAATGCAAATACGTACCTATATGGATGAATATGAGTACATACGAGGTGCGTTGAAAACAAACGTGATTCTTTGATTCAGACTACGACTCTTTTCTGTTCCCAAAACTGCAAACTCCCATGGAAGGAGGCAGTTTTGCCACGATTAAGGAGACAACGAATGCATCGCTGAAACAGGTCAAGGGCATACCAAATAGCGCATATCAGAACAGCTGCGGGGATTGAAAAAAGCGCTGGCACAAGTATATTTTGTCTAAAGGGGATTACTTTCAAAACGATAAAATAGATATTGATGAATACATAAATATTTTTCAAGAATAAAAGATCACTTTCTTTTTTAACACACCTTCTATTTTGTATGTTCAGTTGTACTTAACGTACATTAAATAAAGCGACTTAAGTCGAAAAAATGTGGAATGCATTTAAGATTATTTACAGTCGTAATCCATTATAAGCTCATGCTTTGGTAAAAAAAATACGCATAAAATTTATTTACTCTGGCGATATTAAACTTTTTATAATTATATAGTTTTTGCATATTGCAATTATAAATTGCTAAAGCAAAAGTTTTTCAATTTGCAAACTAATTTGCTAAAACTAATAATCAAAGATTGCTTGTTGTCCTTATTGTAAACATAATGTTAGTATTAATTACGTTCATTATGTAAAAAGAGGCATTTGTTAGAATTAATTCAACATTTTTACGAACTGAACCCTCACTCTCTCTCCCACCCTATCTCAATCTTTTCGTCTTTCACTTTTGTTATTAAAGTGTGGATGGAATTCTCACTGATGGAAGACCGCATCTTAAACTACTTCTACAGCATTTATATTAAAATTTGATCACAAGCAATCTATCCGCCTATATGTCCTTCATTCGCTTTCGTGATTTGTATCCAGCGGCGTTTAAAACCGAACAATAAAACAATTCATTCTGCAAAATTTGAATATCTTTTAACAGCGATTTTAATTTCTTTTTTACCAAGGAAAATAAAACAGAACACAAAAAAGTTTTTCTCTACATTTCTTATACACATTAAAATTCTCTTCATATTTTAAACATATTTTGCATTAAGTTGTATTAGAACCTTGAAGAAGCAAAGAAATATGTACGGGAAATATAAAAATTTATGGAAAGATTTGTGATGCCTACATGTACTGCAAGCGATTTAATATTCCGTCTTTTTCTTTATTTGACAATCTATTTGTTGGAGTCGCCGTTAAGCTCGCAACTAAAAAATATTGTTACGTTAAAA